CTTCCAGCCATCTCGAGTCCATTATATCTGAAATGATGTTCATACTTTCAAGCAAACGAATCTCAAAAGTTATCCAAAAGCATAGAAAAGATTCAAAGATTACTTTCAGAAGTGCCCCAACTATGAACATTAATAAAGACTCTGATATTTAAATATTCTATTCAAGCTTGAGACCCGAATTGTGTAATGTAGCTGATGCTTCAGTAGAAAGGTCAATCTTGTATATTCTATTAGACAATTCCTTAGAATTTTTTAAAATAATTGTAGAGAATCAGTCTATGTGGCCAACTGGCAGGGAAATGTCAAGGAAAGTAGCAGGAATACAAAACCTTGATATAACTACATCATTAGTAGCTCAAATGGAAACATTGACAAACAAATTAGATAGCCTTAATCAGAATGTGAACATGGTACAGTAGCTAAAACCAGTTGTGAAGGGCCAAATCATATTCAAGAAAGATGTCTGTTAGCCTCCACGCATTTAATCCAACCTGAGGAGGTCAGTTATATGTAGAACTTTTAAAGGCAAAATAAGCTAAAATGAAAAAAAGAATGAAATGGAGGGACGAAAATGCAGCAAATGGAAAATTTTCACAACGATCCTTGCATGCAGGCCAATTTTAGCTTATGCGACGTAGACTATAGTCCATTTATCGAGAGAAAAATTAGTGATCGCACGTAAATAGTGAACTATATGGTGCGCGAGTGGGCCCATTTCTGGCCTAAACGGCCCAGTGTCCTTTTTTGACCAAAAGTTTTATTGGAAATCAAATGTAACCAACTATTTAGTCCAAAGGAGACTGCCAGAACTAGACAACTACATCAGGTAATTCAAAGAAATTAACACAAGAGATTGAAGATTCAAAGTTTGGGTTGAAGATTTACAAAGAAGAAATTGATTTTTTACTTGCCAATCATTGTTTCGATTTTGGGTGATGTTTTCCAAATGTGATTTATTAGATAACATGCTAAGCTAATTCTTTTAATGTATTGGGTGAAGATGAAAAATTTTATTTTTATTTTTAATTCAAGACAAGTAGTTTAGTTAAATTATTGCAATTCTTGATTAATGTTGCTTGTCTAATGATGTAGTGCAGAAAGAATTGAACATAATGGGAAAGGGGGTCTGGCGCAAGCTAAAATAGGCAACTTCCCAATTTTTGGAGAAATGTTGGGGTTTCCGTTTTGGGCGAAATTTTAGTCTAATTTGATCGGAAACGGGCCAATGAAGATGTAGGCCCAATTTTGGCCAAATTCCTTCATTTAAGCTTTTTTTCTATTTTTGGTAAATTTTGTTTTGGTTATAACTCTTTCAATTTAACTTGGATTTGAATTTCGTTTGTTGGAGGATAACTTTAAGATTAGGAGTTTCAATTTTAGTCATTATCTCAAATTTTCTATTTTCGAAAAATTTGTTTTTTT